TGAGCACAATAGAGGAAGAAGAAGAAGAAGAAGAAGAAGAAGACGAGGAGGAGGAGGATGAGGATGAGGAGAATGAGGAAGAAGAAGAGGAGGACAGTAGTGTGAGAGAAATAGGAGAGGAATATGAACACCCAGATGATTGCCATAGAGAAGAAGGTAGAGATGTGGCTTCCGGAGACGGCATCCACATACAAGGGGAGAAGTTAATGTCATTAGAAGAGTTCAGTGGGGAGACTTTTGCTATCTCTCCCACCTTTTTTGAGGACATCATGGAGGAGAGCACAATCTCACAGAGGAGGCTTGAACAAGCACACGAGGAGTTTGGAAAGTCTCTAAGACTTTTTCCCCGCTATAATGAGGTGGTAGGTAAGTTGAAGAAAGAGCGGAAAGGGAATGGGCAGGGTGACACACTTTCCAAGCAGAAAAGTCTGCGACGGAAAGGCACGTGCAAACCCAAGTGACCTTCAACAGCTCAGCTCAGCTCAGCTCATCTCATCTTTCGGTCTCTTCTCGGCTGCCCTCCTCTCCGTCGCCTCCTTCCCCTCATTCCAGAAAATCATTAAAAAATTGACAAAATATGAAAAAAAACAAAAAAATTATAAAACTACGAAATAAGCAAAAAAACTATAAAAATAGAAAAGACAAAAAATTCCCTGTTTCATATTTTTTCCTTATCCAGTTTTAGCCCTTCAATGCTAACTCTAACTTTTCCTTCCATTGCACCAACATGCACCAGAGGGTACTAGAGAATCGGATTTCAAATCCTCACAGTTGAGGGCAACTTTCATCAAAGGCATTCCAGCAATAACCATTCATACACTGGCATATCACCTCCTCATCAGGTAACGCGCACATTCTCATAGGTCTTACTTGTATTTATATATACCCTAATTTTGACATCTTTTCCTGCCCATTTACCAGATATTCTACTAGCCCACCCTCTTCTAGTTATCAATTTTATTCTCACCTTGATCTTCCCCATAGCTTACGCACTAGGACTGTGTGATTAATTAGTCCCCCTCCCCTCCCCTCATCTCCATTTCAACTTTTTCTAGTCGTTTTTGGAGATATAATCTCGCTATATGCTTTTGCTCCTCTAGCCCCCCTTCCTCTAAGCAACCTCACTCTAAACTAGCATACATTCTTCCTGCTGCCACGCATGCCGTGGGTGTCGTGGGTGTCATGGGTGGGGGATCATGGTCATAGGAGTGCAGAGGCTATAAGACCACAGCAACAAAAGGGTGCTTGCTGTGTGTGGGGGGTGGAGGTACGAGCAGGCACGAGCGTGCTTCAAGTGCGTGCCCAACTTCTTCACCTGGGCAGTGCCTGCGCCTCCTTACCCAGGAAACTCCAACCCTCACCTCCACGTGGTCCTGGGTGGTAACGTCAGCCTCCTGCATTCACGCCGCCTTCTCAATTCACTCCTACCAACAGGAGCAGGCAAGAGACTCCCGGTGGTGACCAGGAGACTGACGGCGAACGAGGGCTCTGGGCAGAATTAGCTAGTTAACCTACCAACCTACCAACCAAACAACCACCTAGACACCTTCACTTCCTCAACTCTACTTCATGAATGCAATGTGGGAATGGAATAGTGACAATGCCCACCATCATAGCTCACGCAGCGCTAATTGAGACCAATTCATCGGCTACGTGTCCAATGAGGTAATAAGTCCTTCCCACTACTCCCTCCTTCCCCCACACACACCATCAGTGCATTCCAAATTCCAACCAACATCCCCACTCTGACACACAGAAGTGGTAGTTGAGCAGCTACAGCTTGATTATTTCACTACACTCAAATCAATACTTCCACAATTTACGCTTATTCTCACTCCAAAATCCCATCGATTTTACAATATTTTATCACTCCTAAATCGGTTGCAGTAATAGTGAAGCAACTGCATTGGAGGGTTGCATTCCCCTTAGTTAATAATGGACTTATTTCATGCCATTGACCTTCCTCTCCCCACCCCCCACCCCACACCCCCTCAAAGGCCATTCACTCCTATCTCTGCAGTGCACATTAACCAAAATTCACCTATTCAATTTCCCCATTGTAAATGACCTTAGGATTAAGACTGCCACTTATCAAATTCTGTAAATAATGAACTGCAAATTAAAGTTAAAACAAATATAACACATACCCATACATTTAAAAGTCATGTAGTCTAATGTAGATATAAAAATTACTATTTGCCATGCCATTGTAACCTTCATGCAACTGTGAAATAGTAAAAAAACGAGTCAGGTCAAATCGAGGTTTATTCGTAGCTCATTTCTCATGGTTACATCAAAAGCACTTGATTAGTCCTCAATTTGTCTATTTTCTTGAAGAAGGCTCGATTTCAATGACAACAGTCACCACATCTCTACTTCACTGACTTCTCGCTCAAACCCCAAGACTCTTCACGTCTACTCCTATCTGTTAGCAATTTCAAATCATCCACATTGGCATCACCAACTCTTCACTTCAATCGCCTTCTCCTCAACGAGCCCCGAGTTTCACTATATGGACTCATTCAGCAGTAATAAAACAGTTTTCAATTCATGGTTCAACATAATACACATGACAATTTACCTAACTAAACCAACTGATCCGCATTTTTCTTTCTCTTATTGCAAAGCATATTGGAACAGTAGAGAGAAAGGCCGACAATTCAGACGCAGTAACGAAGAGAATCTTGTTAAGGAAACTCGAAAAATCGCCTACTTGCAATCCAACATATCTTGGATAGGATGGATTAAAATCAATCGCATAAGAGAAATAGGATAGAAGACCATGCAATTAAGCAAATAAACTCTTATTAATAGATATATACAAATGGATCCCATTTTCGTTAAGGTTAAACTTCATCAGGAATTTCAAAATCACCAATATAAACACATAGCGCCATACGTCTCCCTCTTAACCAATATTCCTCAATTTTAACCTCATGTCGATTTGCAGAGTCTTCCGAATTCTCTCCACTCCATCCTAATTTGAGAAGCTGCCCAAGAGAAGAATTTCGTGGGAGGTATATGGCCACCCTAGGTGAAGGTCGATGCAAAAATAGATTTTTCGCTGCACTAACGGCATCCACCAATGTTGGAATTTGTCCATCAATGTCAAAGATTTCTGAACAGGGATTGGTCATTTCTTCCAAAATAATCTCACTTCTTCGGCGCTTGTTCCAAGACGAGGATCCAGGGGGAAGTCGGCTACATTTTGTGTAGCCAGGTCCACCCCAAGGGGGTGACATAAATACAGTATCGATTGCCGATATCGATTCAGTTCGCAGAGCCCGCAAGACCCCAGTGACATCACCACAAATACAATCCACGCGAGACTTAACACCATAAACCCGAGTATTAGGCTGTAGAATACTAGACAAACGTTCTAAATTGTTGTCAATTCCAATAACTAAAAAGTAAGTAAAAGTAAAGAAAGAAATCATCTACCAAATTGGCATTTTTGAGCGAACTGTATGGTATTTCCACCTGCTCCAGCATAAGCGTCCACAACAACATTTGAGGTACAAATTTCTGCTTGTCTTCTAGCTACTTCCTCTGGGGTAACAATATACCAGGATTCTAGATTTTACAAGGTAAAAACCCATAAACTTCAAACCTTTATCCATTTTAATACCCTCATCGAAGCGCCAAAACAGATCAAAGCGTCGTTTCCACCATCGTGCAACAGAGGGATCTCGCATCATACCTTCGAATTCCTTATATCTTAAAAGTTAAAATAACACAAAGTAGCACCTTTTATGACTTCGTTTTAGAGCACGCCGTGATGGTATTGCGATTGGTGAAGATTCCTTATTATGCACGAAGTTCTCTCGATTTAGAATTGAGGAAACACCTGAATTTTCCGTTGCATGACAATCAACTTGGACACCGTCCATCTGTTTATTATCTTCTGCGGCTGCAATAGAAGAAATTTGGATAGATTCTTGTTCTGCATCACTGCTGGAGACATCCGACAAGGTATCGAATATACTATCATCAAATTTTACCTGAAAAAATGAATCTGTTGAGAAATAATTCCATGTTAACATACAGAACGAAAGCTATTTCTTACAATACGAGACTCGGTCATTGAAGACTGAAATTAAGAAGGTAAAGGCAACTCCCGCCTAGTGCGCTGATATATTCTATACCTGACCTTAAATGTAGGCTCTTTTGGTATTATTTTAGAATTTTGCGAATTTCCTCCGAGAGTTCTTATTTAAAAAATTTTGCTTAAAGTGATATACTCAGAAATTGTTTTATTATTTATCATATAAGTAATATTATTAAGCACGGTTTTATCAAAATGTATTGAAGTTCTAAAAATGTCATTTGTGGATATTAAGTTTTTCAGTTTAATATATTTGACTAAATGAAGTCGTTTTGTATTTGCGGACTAATACAAATAATTATAATATTTTAAATTGACTAAAAACCTTTGCAAAAATATGACACAGTACGTGATGAAATTGAATATCCCTAGATAAATAAATAAAGGGAAGTTTTCGTTTTCAGCTAACGTGGTGACATAATACACAGAAAAATTTTCTCACATTTTTTAATGGAAATAAAAGGGATAACAGCTACTAGTTCTACTCTAGCTCCCTGTTATTACAAAGAATATTGGAAAGGAATTGTGAAAATCGCGAACACGAGAGTGAAAACTTTGGAAACAATAGTTACTAGCATACCCTAACAAGAGATCCTCAAAATCAACCTGCTTTCCATTTGGTATGTGCAATATCCCTTACCTTGATTTGAATAGATTAAAGAATTATTGCATGGGCGTAATAGGAAAGGAGGACTTTCAATTCTACAAAATAGGTCTTATTAATGGTAAAATTAAATTTACTTATTTTTGGAAACTAAATCACATATGTGAGCATTATCTTTATATAACTAAAGTTCAACCTCAGAGCCAATGCACCAAACATAAAGTTCTTATGAGTGACCACATGAATTCATTTTAATTGTCAACGTAGATGTGATTTGGGGACCTAAATAAGAAATTCTGAAGCACTTACTTCTCATTTGAATCAAATTTGAACATTCAGTTAGAAAATGACTACTGTGTTCTCGGAACCGCCTCAAATATGATGGTTACCATTTCAACTGACAAGAGTTAAATATTTACATTTTTACCATTTTACGTTTATTAATATTGCCGAATTACAGTTTTTTTCTATTCGCAGAGATCATAAATGAGGGATGCATTATAATTTAGATCTGAATCTTGTTATCCTTAATTACCAAGTGAGTTGGGGTTAACTCTCTCCAGATATAGTTCGGGGGAGGAGGTGGTCAATTTATGTTGGAGGGCTCCGTCTGAACCCAGTTGTAGTTGTTCGCAACTAGCTGTATATTTTGGAGAACTACTAAGGTTTAGTCAGTGACTCAATTAGATACCTTCAGCTCCCTTCATGCAGCAACACACAAACCTTTTTCACAGCTCCTAGCACTAACCACCTTCACGTCATTCCATCAGATGATAATAATTTCTCACTTTTCAGTCTAAACATGAGTTCAAAGCCTTCTTAGAATACCTTCATTCCTCAATGAACTGCATCTGAAGCTCAAATTGAACTGGCACCAAGAATTTCGTCAGTCCATTGTTCAAGTAGACAATGAAAGCTTGCAAAGAATAGCCCTTTCTTGATGATTCTGAATTTTATTTTATACTTCCTTCTCTACTACATTGAAAATAGTACCTAATTATATAATTGCTCTGGAGAAGTAGAATACTGCTGATTAAAACTCTCTTCCACAGTATTTTTCTCTCCTCTCCACTTCAGTTCTATTGTGAATAATAAGGAATTGCTAGCTGGAGCTACATCACATTTGACCTTGATTCCTCATTGAAGTGCATCTGATGTTCAAATTGAACTTGCCCCAAAGTTTTAGACGAAGCATTTTTAAGCGGAAAATGCCCGTATGCAAATAACATTTTTTCCCGAGAATATTGATATTTTACTACATAATTTCTTCCCTTTTACACTGAAAATGACTAACAATTATGCAATAGTCTGTCCGAATTCATCGGATGATCTTACACAAGGAACAGTATTCTGGAGTGACAGAATATTGCTGATTAAAACTCTTTACCATATAAGTTCTCTCACCGATTCATTACAGCAACTGGGGATTGTTGACAGGAATAGCACCACATTTAACTCAGAAGGAACAGCAATTTTTCATATTCAAGTCCGATTTGGGTTTTGGAATATTTTTTCCCATTATCACCTTGTTTAAATGAAGAGTCTTGCAAAAGCTTATAATTACTCTAAAGCAAGTCCTGTTACCAATGCTTCTATCCTTGGCACCATCATAACCATGTACTCGATAGCTTTAAGGATATAATTGCATTTTCATGCCAACAGGCACGTTGCCACTGAATGAATGAGAATGAATGCAGAATGAATCAATGAGAGGTTAGTGTCCCTAGATGTACACAGCTTTAGATTGTATGCTACGAGAAATGCCCACTTCTTCATCCAAATTTATGTCATTCGCACACCTTGTAGTCTTCCTTTACATCCCTTTCATTTCCTCCTCCCCCTCCCCCGCCCCCGCTCACTGCAAACCATCTCACATCTGCCTTATAGCACAAAAGGTAGGGTTTGTCCCTTAGTTGACGTAATTTCATTGCAACAAAGGTTATTGCTCGTTAAGGCTGAAATTCCCAGATAGATGTGAATGCCTCTTAACGATGCAACCCTCTATTTTTCGGGACAATACTCCCACTCGAGCTCATAATTGCAACTCTGATTTGATTTAAAATTTGCATTTTTTTGGCCAAATTATTAGCTTCGTGATCTGTCGGTTATTTCCCTCTTGATCATCTATCCTATAATTTAGGAGAACGAAATTAATCCCAAATATTAGGTCATCGATTAAAGCATTGTTGCGTTCGTGCCTGGATTTGCAATCCATCCATTGGTACATTATTTGCCAATCGGCCAAAAAGAAGGTGCGTATGAGCAGTCATAGTTTCCAAAGAAAAGAAGGGACGCAGCGTGTTGTTAGGTGACACCCGGTCTTTAATTGCTATCTTTCTCTGGACTGGGAACAAGAATTAAGCCCACTACTATTAGGTGGGCAACTAAGTCATTGCCGTTTTTGTTGACAGATTCACTCTATACTTTCTTTTGTTTTGCTAACGTGGCCAGAGCATCTAACCTATATTTTTTTCTTACTGTATGGGCTTCTAGGTTAATTAGTAAAAAATTCTTTTTGTTTAGTTCTTTAGTTTTGTTTTTATCCCAATTTAAAAATGAAAGAACAGGACGTGCACTTCCGACACATTTTATTGTATTACTTCCGAAAAGGCAAGAACGCATCGCAAACACAAAAGAAGTTATGTGCCGTATATGGAGATGAAGCCTTAAAAGAAAGGCAGTGTCGAAATTGGTTTGAAAGATTTCGTTCCGGTGATTTTTCACTGAAAAATTCACAACGATCTGGCCGCCCAGTCGAAGTGGATGAAACCCAGATCAAGGCCATTATCGATTCAAATCGTCACAGCACAACACGAGATATTGCAGAGAAGCTCAATGTGTCGCATACATGCATTGAAAAAAATTAAAAACCCTTGGTTATGTCAAGAAACTTGATTTATGGATTCCTCATCAGTTAAAGGAAATTCATTTGACGCAACGGATTAGCATCTGTGATTCGCCGCTACTGAAACGCAATGAGAATGATCCATTTCTGAAGAACCTAGTTACTGGCGACGAAAAGTGGATAGCTTATAACAATGTTACTCGCAAGAGATCATGGGTGAAGCAAGATCAACCACCCCAAACAGTATCAAAAGCAGAGATTCACCAAAAAAAGATTATGCTGTCAGTTGTCTGGTGGGATCACAAAGGAATTTTGTATTTTGAACTCATGCCGCAGAACCAAACGATAAATTCAAATGTGTATGTTGAACAACTCGAAAAACTGAAAGAAGGATGCAATTGAAGATAAGCGGCCGGCATTATCAAATCGGAAGGGTGTTGTTTTCCATCATGATAACGCAAGGCCCCCGCACACATCTTTGGTTACTCGGCAAAAATTATTGGAACTGGGCTGGGATGTTTTGTCACACCCACCATATAGCCCTGACCTTGCGCCTTCGGATTACCATTTGTTTCGTTTCATGCAAAACTCTTTAAATGGCAAAATTTTTAACAACGCGGATGATGTCGGATCACACCTAATTCAGTTTTTTAATAGCAAAGACCAGACATTTTACGAACGGGGAATTTTTACTCTGCCAGAACGATGGAAAAAGGTCATCGACAAGAACGGCCAATATCTAATTGAATAAAGTTATATTTTTAAACAAAAATTCCGAATTTGCCTTCTTATTTGAAATCGGCAATGACTTAGCTGCCAACCTAATAGTTTGGAAGTAAATTGTGGTGAGAATAGGGTATACCGAAACTGGGAGTAGCTTCTACAGGTTACCAACCACCGTATTGTTAGGCCATGGATGAATTCATGGAACAACTAATAAAGTCTTAAATACGCAACTACTTTTGTGCGTGCGATAGTCGGTTTGTTTCCCATAACCCATGGTTCTAGGCTTCTATGCTCTAGGATACGTCATTTTAATCCGTTTAATTTCTCCTCACTAAAATCTGAATTAGGCACATTCGCCCACATTCAGGCGCATACAAAACCTATACACAATCAGTCTATTGGGTTTGCAATAGAGACGATGATAATCCACTTAAATAGTAGAGGGGTGCATAAGTGATTGGGATTTGTTCGAATTTATTCAATCCCACAACCACTCGTTTAACCCTTATATACGCCTTAGTGTAGAATGTTGAACTAGCTGCATGAAATTGGCTTTAACTTGTTGAATATTTAGAAAAATATGTAAAAAACAATACAAATCCTATTAGTAGAAGCAAGAACTGGACAGCAGACGTCGTAGAACAAACAAAATATCTCTGTTGAATGCCCCCATCAAGAGAGTCATATCGAATTCGGGATTTTTAGGAAATTGCATTCAGCGACGGATTCAAAAGCAGAAAAACAGTCAATCAGGGCAATGGTACCTTTATTGAGATCTTCAGTTAAACCGCCTTTGCATGGTCTTTAGGCTTGAAGATTGTGTAGGGAATAAAAATTGCACTTGAGAAGTTAGAAGTGAGAAATATTTGCAGAAACCAGACCTTGACACTTCCTGAAACTCTTTCCTAAGCGTACAAGAAGATTAGCTGACAAAACTCCCAATAGATTAAAATTAAGACGAGAAATGAAAAAGGATTTAGTCACAGGCGTCAAAAAGCTGGCACAATTGAATGGTAACTAGGATGAATGCGACTGAATCGCAAATTTGATGAAACATATTTAAGCGTAAAGTCAGAGCGGCAAAATAAGAAAAAAGTCCAATTACCATGCTGTGGGTGTGTCTAGCTGTAGCCTATTTGCAAAGCCCAAACAGCCTAGAAGTTAGATTAAATCATTGAAAGACTTATTGTTTAAAAGATGTGAGTAAAAGAAGAACACTACTATTTTAGTAGCTCGATTTAATATATGCATTCAAATGATGTAAAACGCTCTCCATGCCAATGTGACACGCAATATTGCTTCATGGCCGTTGTCATTTCCATCTCATATATCCATTCATATACGTTCTTCATGTAGAAGCAATAAATCGTTTGTTCATCGTCATCCGCACCTAATCCATAATGGCCGTTATCACAAGGGAAATTTCTGCCCAATAAACATTCCAAACCTCAAAATTTCAGTAGGCTCTTTTGTTCATTACCATTTATTTGGAATTACTAGTGACAAATGGTGAAGATAACGAAGAGATGAGATCGACTGAATAACGCGTTGAGAATACTGCTGCATCAAGTACCTCGCTTCCATTCATTAATTTCCACGTTGATTTGATTAATCTATAATAAGAAGGACATGTACTTCATCTTGCAATAACATTAGCGGGACATTGCTTCCTTAAACTTGTAGATTCCAGTGATTTCAACTGTAAGGAGTGCGATAGATCTGTTTGCAATAATCATATACTACTTAAACGTATTTCTACGGGAAAGAAAAAAGATGAACAATTACATAGGCCACAAACGAAAGCTCCCACAATTAGAGGAAGTGATAGAAGTGAAGTTTTACCATTATCCTCCACCGTCGGAGACCCATTAGAGTGAGCCAAAGATCACTCATTAGCTTCAGCCATATCTACAGAACAAACACCAACAGTAATTGTATAAATTATAATTGTCTCGATTCGAAACTGGATAAAAGGGTCAATATTTCCAGGTACCATTGTTTTGCACTGGATCAGCATCAGTTGGAGTTCGTTCGTTTACTTCGGATGTTTCTATTTATAAAGAGCAATTCCACAAATCAAAACTTTACAACTCAAAAGTGGACAATGGTGAAATCCTACCATTCCCTTCCATAGAGGCAGCAGCACTTGTAACGATCGCAATTTCACCATTTTCATTAGAAGGTTCTACGTCACACGAAAAATGAGAGGTAACTTAACAATTATCAAGCCACTAGGCGCATAAAAGACTTACCATCATCAAGGTCGACAACATCCGAGGGACCAACCGCATGAGCAATCTTTTTAGTAGACTTCCTGCGCTTTTTTCGGATAGGAGTGCGCCAGCGATGTGCCCGCCCAGTGTGGATCAAGAGGCCATGCTCACTGTGAAAAGACTTGTCACAACCATCACATGAGAAGGTACTAATGTCTAGATATAAAAAGAAGGCCCACTCAACTCCAATATGTTGAAGAGATTGCATATGTATAAATAAATGATTACCGATCTCAACCGCTTCAGAGCCATTTTCAATTCGAACTTTTGGATCACTAGTCCTTTTTTCTGCATCACCACTTTCAGCTACATTTGGAAAGAATACGTCAACAACTAATGGCAAATACATCTGGGGAAAAGCCCCAAAACTAACCGCTTTTGTGATATCTACCAGCATGAATTAGAAATCCATGGTAGGTATCGAATGTTTTCTTGCAATCCTCGCAGACAAAGAGATCAGAATCTGAAGTGTTCAATAAAATGGCTTGAATTAGTGCTGTCTAAACTATTTCAGGTGATTAAAAATGCAAGAGCTTTCAATACTCTATGAAGACGATAGACAGACACTTATCAATGATAGCGCCTTCCAACGATCAGCAAATATAGCCAGTACGGTTAAGTACTTCGCTCAATGGGTGTGCGCCGATGCAAGTCAACTCATCAGCACTGACATAGAAGACGTGCACTTTCACCACTATACCACTAAAACTATCAGGGCTACTGGCTAGGCCATAGTAGGGCTACAATAACCTAGATTCAAAAGGTCAAAGACTTACAAATTATCTACCAGGACAGTCAGTCAAAGTATATTAAAAATGGAAGCCCAGAATAGTAAGGCTTACCATTAATGCGATCTCCGAAAAGTGACTTAGTAACTTACGATCAGGTGTTCTTCCTCAAAGATTGCATAGTAAAATGGAAATTAGGAAAAATCGTTTCGGTTTCAAAATATGAGACCTCGGAATTAAAGACCTTACCGATTTTAAAAATAAAAGTAGGAAATAAAAAACAAACAAGTTTCATGTAGAGAAGTTATAATAAAGTTTGAAAGGCACCAAACATTGCCAGTAAATAGATTGTCAAAATTAAAGCTAATACTTATTTAAATTGCACTTTCATGAAACAAGTACTGCCAAATGCAGACTTTAATTATCCATTCTTAAGAAAGGAAAACACTTTACCTTCAGCCTGGAGTTCACCGTCGCTTTCACGAGTTGACTCGGGTTTTTCGGGAAGTTTTTCTGACTCTGGAATCACTTCTGAAAAATAAGAAGCTTGGCTATACAATCATATTTTAAATTAAACTATATGAATATTTTACGGTGATCGAAATTTGCCATCTCTCTATTCATGTACCTGGGACAGTGACGAACTTAATAGATTAATTTCAGGCAACAGAAACCCCAAGTTAGTTTCAAAAGCAAGTGTTGGAAATGAGCGAATGTCTCTCCAATTCCGTCTTAAATACAAGCTTCATCAACTAACACAGAACAAAAATAAGAAATTCGAGAGTTCAATTCGAATGAGTGTTATCCTACGACAAATAGACTCGACAAATGAGGAGGCGAATAAAAATTTTGTGTCTCTGCAAGTAACAATACACCCACGCGAAATCAATGGCAGACAGGCACTACTTCTGCTATCAAATTCATCACAACTGATTTATAAAATGTCGCCAAGTTCGAAAGTACGAACGATTGAAGGCATCACAAGAGCTGAACTGACTAGTGCAATCGTCGCCTACTCCCCCCATCGAATTGAAATCTTCAAGGACAAAGGGACACCAGACACAACCTGTGATCAGGAAAATTACACCTTCCGTTTATATTGAATGAAACACAACTACCTGCCAAAATAGTATCGATGGNCCTCCAAATACTGGTTGCTTAATGCCTTCCATTCAATATCGATTAAAGAGATACCCAAAGTGCAAATTTATCCACCGAAATTATTTCAATACCAAATAACTTCAAACCCCATTTACGTGAGCGTTATCAGCACACATTAACTAGGCTTGCCACTCATACCACTGAGTATGCCAAGATGACCTTCGACTCAGCAGACGTGCACGATGACAACCGTGTCACCCATTCTCGCGTATTTCCACATCGAAGTAGGGTTAAAAGTGCAATGCGAAACCAACAAGAGCAGCAATTTTCAATTGACCTTAATGACAATAAGACTTACGCTTATGATTTCGGCCTTTGTGTATAAGAAGTCCGTGATATGTGGGATAGGACTTGTCGCATTCATCACATGCATGAACTGCGTGGTCTAGAGTAAAAGCACAAACGGAAAACACAAAATATATGAACACAGCACCTCAACAAAACATTCTTGACATAAGAACGGGAGATTTACCATCATAATCATAATCGGCATAACTTCTGCGGCTACTAACACGCCTCCTTTTCCCTTGCCACTTCGTAGATTGTGTTTCTAAAGATTGAAAGGGATTACAATAATAGCTTACACTGCATAATTATGCCTGTGGATTGATCTCAGTATGTCCGAGCAAACAACCCCACGATATAGCCCCCAACTTATGCTTACACTCAAGGCACTATTCGGACATATAATCTAGCGCAAACCGCGAGTCCCACTACCGTCAAACACGTAAAGTTATTAAAAGCAGGCTAACCTTCCACACACAAATACTAATACATTTTAGCTAAATAAAACCCAAAATAACTACACGAAATTAACAGAATATTCCCAAACTCCACTTACTAGGATTACAAAGGTGTAAGTTGACAGTTGACTTACCGCCAAAATCAACATTGGCAGAACTTCCACGTTTTACTCCTCTTTTCCATCGACTGACAGCAGGTTGGGTTTCTAGAAATTGGGATAAATTGTTTGAACATAAACGAGGGCATACAAATTACAGTTTGTACATCAAATAGGGTCAACACCAGGAGCAAATCAAGTAAAACATTTGCAAAACGAATGACACGAGATTGGCAAACGTACCTCCACCCTCTTTGATTAATTGCCTTCCGTCACTTATTTGAACAGATTTTCGTTTCACTCCTTCTTCACTAGGGCCAGAGGGTTTATCTAAATACACAATCACAGCATGAGATAGCTTTTGAGAAATTGCAATAGACAGTCGCAATCACGAGCTAAACAAAACATGTCCAAAGAAAACAAGAGAAAAAATATAACTTTCTATCGATGAAGCTCACAATCAAGTGAGAGCAGTGTATGCAGTTTACTCTTTACAAGTTAGTAGCGAGATGATCAAATTTCCCCCATTCTCAGTCAACTCCTCAATCAATCTCACCCTCACACACACACACACACACACACACACACACACACAC